GTGACAGAGCAAGACTCCATCTCAAAAAATAAATAAATAAATAAATAAATAAATAAATAGATAAAATAAAAAAGACTCCTTTTATCCTCTTGTTACCTGGGAAGCTTTCCCTAACCTACCTACCCCACCACTCCTTCCAAACAATAGTTTTTCTGTATTGCTATGAGACCCAGTACCTAATCTTGTTTTATAGTGTTTTATACCTGTCTGTTGGCTTATCTGTCTCCTTCACTAGTGTGAGATCCTCAAGACAGGTACCAAGTGTCATCCACCTCTGATTCTCTAGTACCGAACACAGGGCCTGGCACACAGTATTTGCTATACCATGTGTTAACACTTTTTGAGCACTTACCACATGCCATTCGCCATGCTAAAATCTTTATGTATATTATCTCACTTGATTTTTACAAACATCCTAGGAAGTAATATGTTCCACTAGATGTCACAGGATTGACAGAAACAAAACTCAAACAAGTTTAAGATAGAAGTGAATTGCATTGGCTCAATTAAAGGAAAATCTAGAAGCATGCCTTCAGGCATGGCTGGATCCAGACAATCAGCAAGCAATTGGGGTTCTTTTCCTCCATCTCTCAGCTCTGTTTCTCTCCATCAGGCTTCATTCTGCAAGGAAGCTCTCTCTACCAAGAGGGGGAAGCTAGCTGCCAGCAACCGTTGCATCTTCCTAGCTTAGCAGCCATGATGGGAAAAACCAACATTCCCACTGACTCAGCAGAAAAGCGAAGTCTCTGATTGGCGTATCCTGTGTCAACTGCTTGTACCTGCTCACGGAGTGGAAGCACAATGATTGGCAGTCCACCAAGAGGTCTCACCTAAAAGAATCAAAATAAAACAAAAGAGATGGGAAGCCTTCCTGAGCAGGATAAAACCATGATCCACCAGAGATGGGTCCTTATGTTGTCCCATTGTATAAATGAGGAAAGAGGCACAGATCACTTGCCTGGGGATACCACTGGTGATATTTAAATGGATGGGTCTGATGCCAAGTCCTGCACCCCTTGTCGGTCCATTATACTGGCTCCTCCCATGAATTCTGGGATGGATGAGAGCCCAGGATTCTGAAGGCAGACAAACTCAGGTTTAAGATCTATTATTATTATTAGACAGGATCTTGCTCTGTCACCCAGGAATGAATGGCAATATCATAGTTCACTGTAGCCTGAAACTCCTGGGTTCAAGCCACCCTCCCACCTCAGCCTCATGAGTAGCTGAGACTAAAGGCATGTGCCACCATACCTGGCTAAGTTTTTTTTTTTTTTTTTTTTTGTAGAGATGGGGTCTTAGTATGTTGCACAGGGTGGTCTCAAACTCCTGGCCTCAAGCGATCCTCCTCCAGCCTCAGCCTCCCAAAGCACTGGGATTACAGGTGTGAGCCACCGCACCCAGCCTGAGATCCATTTTTGAGGCTGTGATCTCTATGAGTTCAAGTGTCCTCATCAGTCGAAGATGGGCAATAATAGTATCTTTATCTTGTGGTGAGGATTAAATGAAATCATTCAAATAATGTATTTAGCATAGGGCCTGGCACATAAAAAGAGCTAAATTAATGTTTGCTCCTATTATCAATAACTGCTCATTGAATGAGTAAGTGAATGCATGGTACCTAGACTCTAACATGAAGACTCTGGTAGTTCATCTCACAGTGTGAAGGCCTGGGAGCAGGGTTTAGGGAGGACCTTGGACCCTTGAAAATCTCCACTACGACTCAAAACACTCTCCATGGATTTTCTATTCTTTGAGCTGGGCAATTAACTTTTCTTCATTTTTCTTTCTCTCTTTTTCTTCTTTTGAGACAGGGTCTCCTAACATAATGTTACTCAAGCTGGGGTACAGTGATGCAATCATAGCTCGCTGCAGCCTCAAACACCTAGGCTCAGGTGATCCTCCTGCCTCAGTTTCCTGAGTAGTTAGGATTACAGGTGCACACCAGCATGCCCAGCAGATTTCTTTTGTTGTTAAGATAGAGTCTTTCTATGTTGTCCAGGCTGGTCTCAAACTCCTGACCTCAAGTGGTCCTCCCACCCTGGCATCCCAAAGCACTGGGATTACATGTGTGAGCCACTGCAACCAGCCAACTTTTCTTAATTTTACATAAAGTGAAAACAAAAGCGTGTTAGAAACTACTGTTCATATTATTGATCTGTGACTTAGCTCTAAGCAAATTTCCAAGCCCACTTTCTCCCTCCAACCGGATGACCACCCCAAGCCCCTTCCATTAGGAATTCTAGGCCAGGTGCAGTGGCTCATGCCTGTTATCCCAGGACTTTGGAAGGCTGAAGTGGGCAGATCACATGAGGCCAGGAGTTTGAGCCCAGCCTGGCCAACACAGCAAAACCCCATCTCCAGTAAAACTACAAAAAATTACCTGGGCATGGTGGCACACACCTGTAATCCCAGCTCCTTGGGAGGCTGAGGCACAAGAATTGCTTGAACCCAGGAGGTGGAGGTTGAAGTGAGCTGAGATCGTGCCACTGCACTCCAGCCTGGGCAACAGAGTGAGACTCTGTCTCAAAAAAGAAAAAGGAATTCTAGAGCCACCACTGGCACCCACGCTCCATACAGCTGGGTTTGGAATGAGCGCTGTCCTCACGTACGACCACGTGCAGGTAAAGAGCTTTGAAGGTGCCAAGGGCTATAATTAGCTCGGGAGGTCATCTACGTTCTCCTAGCACTGTGGAGTCAAGGAGTCCTGAAGTCCAGTCCCAGGCCTGGGCAGGGCTGGGTGGGGTAAACTGAGACAGGGCAGGGGACAGAAACGGGACGACTTATTGAGGTCTCTGACAGGCCTGTCAGGCCAGCAGGGCACTACAATTCTTTTCCCAGTTGTAATTATACTTAACCCCAAAAAGCCTTAGAATTATTCCCACGTCGAGTGGGCACACGGTGTCCTGAGACATCTGTGGCCATCTGAGATCCAGGAAACTGCTCTAGATGCCAAAGGTATAGAGACAGGAGAAAAGTGCATGGGTGGAGGGGCCCTCAGCCCCAGCAGGAGGGAATAGGCTGCCTCTCTGAGGGCTGGATGCAGTGGGAGGGGAGGGGATCTGAAGGGAGGGGAGGCAAGGAGGAAAGGAAGCAAACTTTACCCAACTCTTCAGCGGCCCACCTGGGCGTCTGCAGTGTCCACATACAGTTGAGAGCTCCAAGTCTGGGACACAGATATGCCAGCATGCAGGACACGAGATGCTGCCTTGTATTCTCCTCCTTTCCCCTGCTTTTCCCCCTGCCCCTTCCCCATTCCCCATCCAAACTCTCCTGCTAGGCAGGGGTGTGGAAACAGTTGGATGTCTTTGGCCACTCAAGCTGGAGTTCTGCCCCATGTGATCTTGGCTGTGTCACTTAATGACAATAACTCAGTTTGTGTGGAGTCATAAAGGGTGTTCACATCATGATGTCACCAGACTCTCCAGCCACACCCATTGTACACGCATTATCTCATTCAATCCTCATGACAACTCTGGAAGTGAAATCATGTTAGTGTGCCCATTTTGCAGATGAGGACACCGAGGCTTAGAGAGATTGTGTGTGACCCTCCCAACATCATATGGCTAATAAATGGCAAGAATGGAATTCAAATCATGGTTTACTAAACTCCAAAGCTGGAGCTCTTCTATAGTCTCAGGATCTAGAACAGGGATTATTACTATCCCTGTTGTTGACATGAAACTGTGGCTCAGGGAGGTCAAGTGACCTGCCAAAGCTTGTACACATGGAAAGGAGTAGAACCAGGATGCAAACACATTTGTTTACCACCAACACCAATATCTATTTTGCAACAAAACAATGAGGGGGCCTAAGTAAATAATCTCAATGGTTCCCTCCATTCTCCAATTTTTTTTTTTTTGAGACAGGATCTGGCTCTCTGTCACCCAGGCTGAAATGCAGTGGTGCAATCTGAGCTCACTGCAGCCTTTGCCTCCTAGGTTCAAGCCATCCTCCCACCTCAGCTTCCCAAGCAGCTAGGACTACAGGCACATGCCACCATGCCCAGTTAATTTTTGTATTTTTTGTAGAGACAGGGTTTTGCCATATTGCCAAGACTGTTCTCAAACTCCTGGGCTCAAGCAATCCTCCTGCCTCAGCCTCCCAAAGTGAGCCACTGCACCCAGAAGCTGAGATACTTTTTAATTCTGGGCTGGGGCAAAGAGAAGTCAGAAGGAAAATGGGTGAAAATAAAGAAGCTCTCAGTCGTACTGCAGCTTGTTCATGCCTCCCGTCTCGGGGATGCCACACTGGCTGCCCCAGCCCCGCCCTTTCAGCCTCAGTCCTTCGCTCAGTGGAGGAGAGAAAAAGTGATTTAACAAACTAAGGGCTGTCAGCCCTTGGAGCTTGGACCTCTGAGATCCCACACTGACCCACCCAGTAGCGTCCCCTTCTAGTAGCGTGGCACCACCTTCTGACCCACCCCTCAGTGTGTCCGATAGTGAGAGTGGTTCCCAAGGGAGAGTGTGAAGCACACACAGGCACCTTCTTACACCACACCTGCTGCGTCCAAACCATGGGAGGCTCCTCTCCTAGACTCTGCATCCTGAAAGCCGCGTACCTAACAGCCTGCCATCTGGTTGCAGGGACACACCCCCGGGGGAGGAGCTGCAATCGTGTCTGGGGCCCCAGCCCAGGCTGGCCGGAGCTCCTGTTTCCACAGCTCTGCTGCCTGCCTGGGGTACCAACATGGCCCAGAAGCCTCCTGCCTGCACCCTGCAGCCCGAGTGTGTCCAGCAGCTGCTGGTTTGCTCCCAGGAGGCCAAGAAGTCAGCCTACTGCCCCTACAGTCACTTTCCCGTGGGGGCCGCCCTGCTCACCCAGGAGGGGAGAATCTTCAAAGGTAAAGGCGGGCACCCCAGGGTCCCCTAGCCCAGCAGCCTGGGTGGCGGGTCAGAGGAGGATGTACAGGAAGAGGCGCAGAGGCACAGGCAGTGGCAAGAGCGCGACTCTGTCCGTTTTTCCCCCAGCCTACGCTGAAATGTTCCTACCCTGCCGACTGCCCCAGACCGCGCTCAAATGTGGCTTAAATCCATGGGCTGTCAGTGCTTGGAGGACTGGGATGAGGAAGGAAGTTGGAAAGGAGGCAGGAAGGGGAGGCCATAAATCAAAAACATCAACAGTCCTGGGGTGCTGGCGGGGAGAGGGTTCGTGCTTTCCCAGCCTCAGACGTGTCTGGCACCTTGGACCTAGGTGTTAATGCTCGTCTTTAGATGAAACTACCGAGGTCCCGAGAGGTGACATGACTTGCCCAAGGTCACGTGGGGCGCTGGTAGTGAAATCCTGGGCGGGAGGTTCCCCAAAGCCCTGCTCTCTTCCTTCCACCCACTGTGCTCTGTGCTGGCCAGGGTGGTGACGTGTTTGTCGGGTGTGGTCCTTGGAGAATCTTGGAGGTGAAAAGCCAGCTGGATTTCTGAGTCCAGCAGCGAGCAGCGCCCTGCGGGGCGGGGGCGGGGAAGGGAAACTGAGCCCATCTGAGTCTGCTCTAATCTGTTCCTAAACTTTTTTCTTTGATTTATTGCTTTTGTAGAAAAGTTCATGTGAACAAAAATTCAAACTTGTTTTTGCTAAGCTTAGAGGCGTTCTCCTTCAGGGCAGTGGGGGACATGATGTGGAGGTGCCCCTTGATGTTATTCCTTTTCTGTTGAGGTTCTGTGACTTGCCTGGGTCTTAAACATCTTTGAGCGGGAGAAGCAGGTTTGATTGAGTGCTAACAGCCTGTGAAAGGAAGGTGATTAATGCTATCCGTTTAAGCCCTGCAACCCTGAAAGGCAGAGAAGGAAACAGGTTCGGAAAAGTTTCAGTGCTCAAAATCACAGAGCTGGGACTGGAACCCAGAGTTCCCCTGATTCCAAAAGCTGTTGCTCTGTGGGGAGTGAAGGATCTCTGAGTACCGTGTTGAAATTCAGACCTGTTTTGGTGGCTGAGATGAATATTAAACATTAACCACCACCACAAACAACAAACATTAACCACCACTGCAAACACCGTTGCAACTTGCAACATTACAGAGTCTTGAATGTGGAATCAGCCCTTGATTCTTAGGAAAACCTCCATATCCTTTCCAAATGGCACAGAAAGGGCCCTCCTACAATCCCCCTGCACCCGCACTGACCCCTCCTGCCATGCTTATCACTGTCCACTTACGTATCTGCCTCTCTCTTGGGACTTTGTGCTACAGAGGGCAAGGGCTGTGTCTTGAATCTTTGTACCATTGACTTTCTCGTGCTGTGACCTAGCACCTGCCTGGCTGGCCCAGAACAGGCACTCGATAACTGTTGAGCGACCGACTGGATGAATGAATGAGATGAGTACGTTTAGAGAAGAGCAGAAGGAAGAGGGATGGCAGGGCAGGTGGTGGTGATGGGGACTCAGCATGTTGGGCCATGGCAGTTCCTGGCCTGTGGGGCCAGCGTGGCTGCCTTCCATCCATGCTTTCCAGCTCTGGGACTGGTGTTCTGCTCGGACCAGCAAGAGGTCAGACAGCCTCATCGTGCCTCCAGAGCCAGGGGGCCCGCATGCCAGAATGCTCTGGTCCTTTCTTGTTTTAAAACCCACAATAAAGGAGGCACACTTTCACTCGTAAGTGACACCTGGGAGCTACTTCCAGTGAAGTCCATGCCTTTGTCACCCTCATACTGATCATTCAACAGGTATTTGCTGAAGATCAGCTCTGTGCCAGGTAAGGTGCCAGGTGCTGGGGATATCACAGTGAACAGGATGACATAGTCCCTGCCCCCATGGCAGTCCCCTCATCTTGCACAGGTGATGACTGAAGGTGGAAGCCTCATCCAATGGTTGTGGAAGGAATGAATGGAGGAGATTAACAGGACTGTGGCCCACGTGCATTGCAAGGAAAGACCTGGTGTCACCGGAGAAAGGGTTGTGTGAGGGGGACTTAGAGAGTGAAATGGAGGCTTTGGAGTCAGAAGGTCCTGGGTTGGAAGGCTGGTGTTTATCAACTGTGTGACTCTGGGTGAGACCCTTCACCCTTCTGAGTGTCAGCTCACACATTTTATTTATCTTTTTTTTTTTTTTTTTTTTTTT